AAGGAATTTGCGAAATTAGCTAATTGTCCACTAACTTTTTATGCAGGCCAATGCACTCTTGGTAGAGTGGGTTAATTAAACGCGTTAGTCACTGCTGTTGAAGCACACGTGCCGAGCCACTCCGACTTGCAGAGATCCATTAACTAACTTGCAAAAGCCCAGATTCGGTAGAATTCTTTCATTGAAGATCATTTTTGGTGAAAAATCAGCAGGCGATTAGTTTTGATGCAAAACCCGGAGGAATTTCAGACACAAACTGGAAACTTACCGCACACAGATATAAAACTTGGTGACACTGTAAGTCGCTAGCTTAATAATCCAAACAAGGTCTGTTCAATATCAACCAAGCCTTTAGTTAAAACTTGACAAAAATTAGTCGTCCAGGCAACTACACAATCATTGAAGATCCGTGATCCCAGCAAAAACTCAATCTTCTTCACTAAATAACACTATTCGCATAATCGTACTTGTCCGACCACGGGCTGGGTTTTACCAATTCACATGTGTCAGTTAGGTAGACCCGTAAATTTACTCCCAATAGACGCTAATAAGGACGTAAAAACACTTCCATTTTCCCCAAGCAGTCATTTGATAATGTAAGTACGGAATGTGAAAAGAACTATGACCTTTCGTGGGGGACGTATCCACGTGTTACTTTTTCGTTCCACTTACTTTGGCCGTATGGTCATAACCTTAAGTTCTTTTGAAGGCATTTCCATTGATTATATTTAGCGAGGTCTTTAAATCGGAATTAATCTGTAGGCATTCTGATAGCTGTTATCAGACCCCGCAGAAAACATATTTGACGAACTCTTGTCATAACTATTTATGTCACTGATGTGACACTTCGAGTTCACAACAAGTTCTGAAAAGAGAGGGGTTAAAGAAGACCGATTTCTGGGATAGATGTGAGACCTCACAACGCATGCACATACATCTGACTTTCGTATATATTCCCACGACCACTCTATTGTCCACTGTCCACATAATTGCCGATCACACACGCCGCACCCGCGCGTCCTCAAATTCACATCCACACCCCCAGTTCCCTTTCTCTCTCTCTCTCTTTCTCACACACACACATGTAATTTGGCTGTAGATGGTAGCATCTCGAGAAAACCATCTCTTCGCGAACTCTTGGTTCTAGTGGCCAAATGCAACACATTTCCATTAAACTGGCATTTTTATTATTCAAAAGTTCACTCTCCGTCATTTCCCACTACTGTCCCCGACGCTTTACAAGTCTTTGAAGTCCTTCTTTGTTGAAACTGTGTGGTTTCACTTCAAAGAAGTTCGCGAAATAGTTGTTGACTTCCTCCGTACCAGCAAGTTTTTCCCATTCAGGTTATTCTGCAGAAGAAAAATGTGAAAACTTGAGGGCACAAGGCCGGGTGACACGAGAGGACATTCCATCCTAACGCCCCAGTTTTCTGCAGCGCCTATTGAGAGGCATGCGGTTACGCGATGTCGTGAAGGATGAGGCATTTTAGATTGACCAGTTTTGAGCGTTTGCTTGAATGGTAGAATTTAGTTGAGTGAGGTGTTCATGGTACTTCTTCTTAGTTCTTGTTTGGCCATGTAGACAAAGCTTGCAAAAATTATGCCTCAACACGCACATAAAAGCAATTGCACTGGATGCCGCGAATCAGTCTTCGCCATGGATTCCGTTCTTTCCCTTCTACGCCACTGAATCTTTTTTTATTCAGTTGTTACGCACAGACCACTCTTCGTCTCCATTCGACAGGTAAAGAGAGAAATGGCTGTGGAAACACGGTTGAGTCTGTTCAGTTCTGTCAGAATTTGTACAACCCGTCTATCGACTTTTAGCGTTCAAGCAAGTTGCTGTAAATGGTTAAATGTGGTCGATTTGTCAGCACTCTGTAGGTAATCCATGCATTTATACTTCAAAATAAATCACGGATAAAGTCGTTATCAATGCCGGACGATCAATCAGAGCCCATATGAACTTTGAATCTTAGGTTTGACTCACGACGTACTTAGATAACCGCAGTTAATAATATGGTAATAAAAGGAAAATCACTACAGTCACAAGTGGGCACGGGCTTTCCGTCACCATACTTGGGCCCTCAGACGCCCCTCATGCAGTTTCGCAACACCTTAATAACTTTTTTTAGACCGGCGTGAGGCTGTTTGGTTTTTTGATCACGAATCATGGTTGCGACCTTGAACACGGAAAAACCTATAAATGGACACTTCGAAGTTCTTGTGGCATTTTCTGTGCCAAAACCCCTTAGTAATCATCCCTCAACAAATACCACAGTTCAATGACTCATCTAGTGAACGTGCGACACAACATCCATTATTCAATACCTGTTATACATTAAAGTCACAGCTATTTTCTAAGGTGACTTACCCATTTCCTTACCAATTTTTAGCCAAAACTGGTAACCTTGGCCCTTACAGATTGATTAATGGGAAGCAATTTATGCTAAATTTTTCTCCAAATTCGTCCATGTATTTAATATCTTTACACAGCACCTAACTAGGCTAGAGGTTTGGCTTAAAAACCATAACACGAGCCTATTTGCACAGCACAGTTGCATCACAGCGTGTTTTCAACAACGTTTTCGTGGGACAGAGTTCCAGTAGGGTGCGATAGGAAGTCCGTCCGTTCTTTATTTGGACAAAGACTTCTTTTATGCAAACGTGGGTCACTGAGTTTGCGGCCGACTGCCTCCTGACGATACCCTGCAGATCAAGGTTGGTTTCCAGGATACTATCAACGTCATTTCGCATGTATCTCTGATAGCAAAACGTCACACCGCCTCGACCCACCCCGCATTCCCCTTTTTCCACCAACGTGGGGCCGATTTTCAAACACTACATCACCGTGGTGAGTGATTCACAGTTAAGGAATTTGCCATTTTCTACTACTTTGTTTACAATTAACCTAAGGTGAGGCCAAATTCACTTTCTTTGTCGGCGCTGGCCTACGGAGCATTGCCTACAAAAGTTCCCACATTTGCAAATATTTTATGTATATAGAAGGGTGGAAACCTCAAATATTCTCACAGATTTGAGCGGTAACTTTGTACCCGAAACCCAACGAATTCAGTGTTTACTCAGAGTCGTGGTGGCGGCGAGAATACGATGTTTAAGCGAAATTGGCTGATTTTATTTCCATGCCGACAGAATGAACATTAAGTATCGAGCGTTGAGTAAACCCACTGCATGAAGATGTAGATGTATGCATTGGTTTCGTAAACCAGACATGACATTCAACGCGGTGCGATCCTTAGACCTAACTAATGAGTGAAACCCCCAGCAGGTTGGGGTAAATAGATGGGGTTAACACGATGCCCAATATTTTTCATTAAAGTCCACTTTATTATGCTTCCATCTATCTTCTTAATTCAAGGAAAGTGATGAAATCCTTTGCATCATTCACTTAAAGATAAGGGAACAGTTGAAAATTTGCTGTATCCTTCACTATGTTTATTACAAACAACCGGGGTGGCCTGGTGTGTTTCGACTGCCTAAACAGACCAACAAATTTTGATCACGATATCAGAAGATGAAAAATAAATATGTATACACACACTCAGACACCGGCCCATCCCCATCGCTTAATGATGACACGTCCGATCATGAAACCCTGTGTGTGCACACCTCCCCTGCCACTCAAACCACCTATGACAATCGTGACATTCACTGGTCCACCCGAACTCTGTTGGTCAACAATCGTCAAATGTCAGGTTACTTCTGGAAGAAAGGATTTTGTATGCAAGCACTGGTTTGGGCTGTTAGATTTCCACCTGCAAAAACCAGTGCTCTATCAGGCTACTGCAAGATACGTCTGCGGACGAGAGGACGGTGTAATTCACAACTTGGGTTACATACAGACCCAGGGCCAAACCTGTGTAGCTGATTCAGCAAGTGAAATCTAACCAACGAGTGATTTACTGCAATGCTGGGGGCCAAAACTTGATGCGACCTGGGCCTCAATTAACTGCAAGCAAGAAGATCACCATGGCATCAGTAAATGTTTGGTGGCCTTTACGCATGTTATTTGTAACTCCTCAGCAGAACATATAGAGACAAACAGTGGAAGGCTATCAGCCGTGTTCTGTTTTAGTGAAGCCTCTGATGGGCTTTGGATAAGAAATTTCAGACTACATGTTGGGATTGGACTGGAATCACATAAAGGGGTGCATACAACAGGACTGAGTCCCAGAACTGCATCGAAAACGTGAGGTCTTGTCCAAAGTTCATGAAAAAATACTATTCTACACCTGTTTTGTATTTTGAAAACCGCTTCCAATTATAGTAAGCATGAAATTTATATGTTCCTGAAATGAACCCAAATTTAATCAAACCTTTTCGGCTGTGTCCAATCATTTCAATACCAATTAATTTATCTTTCATTGCACCCCCAATTGGCAATGCCCTGTGGTCACTTTGGACGCCTGCAAAGGCTATTTGCACTTACGTCGATCCCGTCCGAGGTCACAAGGCACGTCCCCAAGTGAGGGGCAGTACACTTTCTCCCAGGTCACTGCGAAGGCGTGTACTTTGAGTGTAAAAAAATTTCATGCCATAGATCTCGATGTTTGCTAAACCTTGGGTCACTATTCAAAGGCGTGAATCGTGGTTCGTGCTGTTGAGCACGATCTCCAGGCAGGATTAGGTTGTCGCTCGTGCCGATCAAGGTTAATGAGGACACTTCAAAAAGAACTCGACCCTGTGCATAAGTGTTCCAGAGAACCCTGATCCTTTATGGAGATGTGACGCCACTACCGAAGAATATACTGGATTTAGCATCAGGTGACGATGACCGGGTCTAATTAGCGTGGGCTACTGGTAATGCACATTTTTCTTCTTGCTTGCCTGAAAGTTCATGACAAATGCCATTAATAATTTACACTGCTCATTACCAGGAGGTAATCACGCAATATTATTTCTGAAAAACGATTATAGTACGCATCGACGCCAAAAAGCAGCACCAATGGTTTGGAGAGTACTCATCCACCTCAGGCCCGCTATAAAATGACTCGCGAGCGGGCCTGTTTTGAAAAAAAAGCAACCTCACCTCGGTGGGCGCTCGTGGTGTTTGGGGAGAGGGCTCGGTGGTTGATGGGAGCGCTTGTGGTGGAGTGTGCCACAAAAACAGGAACCTGGTGGCCTCCGGTTGGTAGGGTGCTCGGGGTTTGCGGTAACTGAAGTCTCCTCTCTGTCCGAAGAACGTCCTCCACGCAGTCAATGAAAGTAGGGTAGTTGGGGTTGTGGAGTCGGTTCGCGGTTGCCTTATTTTCAGGCGCACGACCGCCAGACACAGATAACCGATTCGGTCGCCAGACGCCATCGCGGTCCAGGCTACCTGTTTTAACTCCCAATTGTTGGTTGTCTCCAGCAACTTTTCCTCGACGACGTGGGCCGTCCGTGAACGGAGGTCCGCGTAGGGGCGGTGTTGGGTCATCGTCTATGAGCATGGGCTTTTGAATGGGCAGCTAAAACGAAGATATCCTCTTTTTTTCATATTGCAAATGGTGTAACTGACAATAAACCGACAGACTAGGAAACAACCTAGTGCATCATCTTGGCATTTTCTCCCCACATTCGTAGAACGACCATTCTCACGTGCAGTGACACTCATTTTTAAGTTGCGCACTATTTGAATAGCTAAACGGCATTTTCTGATGCCTGAAAAAGCCATTTCAAGTAAAGCTCGTAGCATATATACCCATTTCGATAGTTACAACCGATTTTGGGGCATGTTTTCAATACCTTTTTTCCTAGTTGCTCACTGTTAACTTCAAGGAGGCTGCCTACAGGCTATAGACAGTGGATGAAAGAGTGTACAGCAAGTCACATCTCGCTCACGTGCACGAAAGAAATCGCCCAAAGTGCATGTGAAACCTCCCCATCATTCGAAATTCTGTAAAATAATTGAAACACTGTGTCAGAAATTTTTGTTATATGGCAGGATGTCAATCACAGTTAACGCTATCTGCTGTATCTCTGGATTTAACTAGGAAGAATCAGTCGAGTCTGCCGTTTAAACACTTCTTCACTGCGACCGTGACCACTTTTGTACTCATTTCTCGACCGAACTCACTTGCGAGACGTCAACTCTTAAAGGTTGCGACCTGTTTGATTGCTCTTCCCGGAAGTTAAAAAGCCTCGGGGTCATCGTCGACTTGTTGATGCCGATTAGAGGCGATGGCGTTTTGGTGGGGGCGACACGTGAAGCTGTGGGAGGAGGGAAGGAGGAAATTCGCCCTGAATCGTCGCCCGTTGGAGTTACCTGAGACGACTCATCGTCATCATTGTTGGCAGACGGCTTGGGTTTAACTTTGTGTGAGAAGTTGTTAGGAGACGCCGTTGTCGTAGGTGGAGGTGAATTCGACACGGGCTGAAGTCGGGCTGGTGCGGCGGGGACCGATGTCGCATCAGTGATTGTAATCTGGCGCACGGGAGAAGAAATCTTGGCATCGTACGTCAGTTTGTGCAAAAGGCTAGACTATGTTTAAACAGGCATCGTGATTTTCCGAGCTAACGAATGTATCACTTCCAGTCCATCCAGAAATCTAAACGTGTCACCTTTAAACATGCTTTATGAGATGGATGGAAAGCTTCTGAACTGAAGGTAGTGCAAATATCCGATGGTGTAGTTTTCGCGTTCAGCATCCGAAGGGCACCAAATGAAATAAGGGTAATGTTTCGGTCTCAAGAAACTGGAGTGTTTTCTAAATTCAACCATTTTGCTACCAAATAGTGTACTGGCGCGAATCATTTAAGCACAAAATAACTTTACGCATGTGGAGCCATAATGCGTTTCAATTATTTATCTATAAATAGGTTTACCTTAATGTGCGCATCTGTATCTGCGATCCACTGGCTGCCCAATTAGGGTGGGCGAAAATCCAACATGGAAAGTGGAAAAAGCAACGCTACTTCGGCTAAACAGAATGGAAAAACGGCGGAGCTTTCTGTGTCCAATTAAGTTCTAGGAGGCGCCTAATATACGCTGCGCCTTTCTGCCCCGAGGAGATACGACAGACGCTACTGAAAATACTTTTACGTCTCAAGTTCACAGTGTACTCGCCTCAGTTGAGAACCAAATTCAACGACACAAACGGAGAATTGACATCCAACAACAGGCTAATTTGGGCATTTCAGCACTTATTAATATGTACCATGCTCCAAGAAGTAGTCTATTCAAAAATAAAGGGATCGCAAAATATGCCTCAACTCCTGTCCAATTCACTAGAATTTATGACCATGTAGCTCTCGTCAAACTACAAAAAACTAGTTTATAGTTGATTGTGAAATTTTCTGCAGGATTCGTTAATTCAATTTGAAGTAGTAGCTTACGCATTCATTGTGAATTTTAGACTGTATTCTAGGAACCTCCCAATAACCACGTGTTTTGATGTTTCCATGACGTACAGAATTCTTAAAATTGGATTTAAGTGCAGGCTGCTATCTCTACCGCCCAGCCTGAATCAAAACAAGCCTCAGAGCAGTTATCAAGACAAAGTAATGAGCACAAACAAAATAACTAACCAGGGTTTTTTGCTGTCCAATAAAAGTGCCACCCACAGAGGGGTCGTGTCGTACCTCTGTCCTATAGATCTGATTTGTTGGAGGTGGACAGTTCGGGCTTGTGTCAGAGGGTACAGAACTCAGATTGGGTTTCATGTAGGCGTCAAGACGAACTCTATCGATTTTGGCCGGAATGGGACCATCGGAAAGTCGTCGTCTGCCTCTGACATAAATGCCTTCTACGTTGGCGTAGGAGTCCTCTCCACTGATATCAGGGGATTTCGGCAACTTGGACGGAACATTCATGTTGCCATTGCTTTTTTGAATGGGGTTTTGACTGTTGTGGTACGTCTGGACGTTACTGTCACACAAGTTTATGCTGTCGGTTAAAAGGCGACGGTCAGGACGATGGAAGACGCAGAGTTTGGGAGGCTTAGGGGGTTTATTTGGACCACCCGACAGAGAAGAAGGGACTCGGCTTTCATCCGGTTCCCATTCGTAGATGCCAGGAGAACAGGGGTTAATACTGCGGGCGATTGTGTGCGCATTCGCCGAACGAGATGGAGCTGTAATGAATGCGAACAGCGTTCTTATTGGGTATTTTGTCATTTTAACACTTTTTGAGGGTGTACTGGAGCTGGAGTGGTCATCATTACCTCTAAAATGCTGGGAGTTACTCAAATGAATTCATTTGAAGAGCAATGCTGGAATTTTAGAGGATTACCACTTCAGAAACAGGATTACCACCGCCTGCAATTTCTTTCGTTTGCCCCATCTTCGCCACAGGCACTTTAAAAAGGTGTCGCTGATTCTCCTGCATTGGCACCTTCACGAAATTCATATTATAAAACATTTCTACCAGGATATGTAGTTGTAAGCAAACATGAATGGTAGTGTTACTGAACGTTGTGAATAAAACATAGCTAACCCCAAAAAAACGATTGTCAATAGAGCATTAGAAACGGAGTTATGTATAAAACCGCAAGAATGAGTGAGTCAGCTCAATTGGCTTGGTGTGACAAAGTCATACATGACAAGCACCCATCTCGTTTTAGGTCATTTGTTTCATTAATTTTAACAGAACGCTACGCCACACATCTCCTGCCTCAGGGAGGTGCACTAGGTATTTGCTTTTTTTCACTTTCGCTCTGGGTGCGTTTACACAGATCCAGAAATAAATATGTATCAAGTTAAGTGTTCGTGCCGATTCAATCTTCAGCCCTTCCGGGTATTGTTTGACTCAATTTATTCCTGAGAGCATTTTGCACCAATCGCCGACAGCCAAATCAAACAGGCATCTGTCCAATGTTGTTCGGAATTTGCACGAGTTTTGATGTATGAGGGGAAGGTGCGCACTAGCGGGTTTGATTTGACTTTGCTTGTAAACAGAAGACCCGTCGCCCTTCGGCCGATCATGTACATTTGCTTCAGCGCTTCCTAATTTCCATTAGTCAATGAAGTTTGGTTTTTGCGACTTTGAACGATTTGACATTGACATTACACTTAAGAATGCACGTAGACTTTTCACTTCGGTATTCATACATATTCTTATTTCTCAACCTTAGAACAACACTAAACAATGTGACTATCGACGCCGTTTGAACTTTAGTGACCGACTTCACTTCAAGGCACCTTGTTACTTCGAAAACGCCACACCATTTAAAAGTGTACGGTTTTGGGGCATGTTCGCATCACAACAAAACGCACACTCGCATCAGTGAACTTGACTGCAGTAGTATTGGTTCACATGGCACCCGCTTGATTCCAATAATTGCCACGTGGGCGCTTCAACAATCTCCCCTGACTGTACGTCATGCCAAAAAAAACAACCTTCAATCGGGCCACATTGCTAATTCACTGGTGTTTGTAGGATGAGAGCTATCTGGGCTGATGCCCGGTTGTTGTGGGCTACTATTGATAGCTTGTAGGGGTCTACCCACCAAGTCAACACGGAAAATATAATCTTGTATTTTTCAATACTAAATCTGGCACACAAATGACGGATTGGTTCACTTTTTAGTGCAATAAGTCCAGATGAACTGTCAGATGCCTCCACAGTGTCCCAGCTTTTGAGCAAAAATTATTGTGAATGAAAATTTAGTAAGAAAGCCCCATGTTAAGTCTGTAGGTGCTTTACTTGCCGTTTAACTTCTCCAAATTGTACGCATCCACTACAACTTTCAAGCGGTAACAATAATGCTCATTTGGACATTATGGAGTGTCTCTAGGTGTTAATCTACTTCTTGCTAATCGAAGCGAAAGAAGTTTACGGCTAAGTCATATCAATTAACCTCGACGTGGCCACGCTTAGTCAACCCAGGAGAAATGATTTAAAGGCATGACTATAACGTACTACGTATTTTTGCTTAGTGTAAATACTAGTGGCAACATTTGCTGCAACTTCTAGTAGACTATCACACAACCGGTGAGGCTTCACTCGGTCCCTGAGATCACCAATTTTACCTAGTCGCTCGATCTGCTGATTTCAAGTAATTTGGTGTAATCAAAGAGTTCTGCTGCCTGGTATTGAGAATATCAGAAGAGCTGTGTTCATAATTTCAGCATCAGGTCGAACTTCCGTAAATGAATTGGCAACAGGGAATTCGGCTCTTTCACATTCAACCTGAGTTCACAAGGATGCAAGTTTGAAAGAACAGGCTCACATCCACATTAATCAAATTCCTTTTAAAGGGGTCTTCGAAAAAGTTACAAGTGGAACGGGGTGTTAAATTTTTATTTAACTAGTTGCCTTTTTAAAATAATTCCACATTGGAGGTCTACTGACAAATGGCTCCCTTCGTTCACGTAGGTATGACGCTTGATGCGTAGTTAAGTGTTCAAACAGTTAAAATGGTTCCTTGGGGTTGGACAGTTTTATTTATTACATACCTAATGTAATCTAACGTTAACGAAGACACCTTACGTTTTTGCAGCCCAACTCACCGCTTGGTGGATGCGTGGTATTCATTGACGAGTGACCGTTGATCATGGCTGGCTTCCCTTCTGCAAATCGAACAGTTTTCCTAGATAGAGAATCGGCTAAGTTGGAGGCGTTTGACGACGCCGTTGAAGCGTAACTGTCATTGGAGTCTCCATTTAGCCTGCTATTCAGATCAAAGCTGTCCCAGAATGACCGCCCAACGAAGGATCCTCTGGGGGAATCGAAGCCTTCTGATTGGTAGGTGTTTTGGCGTTGGGCCTTGAGGATGCCCCGATGAGCCACCGAGGAACCCCCCAGAGGTGTCGGGGGTCTGTAAGAGAGCTGGGCCGCTGGTTCAGTGGGCTTGGGACTAAGAGAGGACGAGCGTTGACCCCCTGTGGGCTTCGCTGGATTTGGTTGGCGCCATTTTGCAAAGTGAAAATGCGGCAAAACGCGAGGGACCTTTTTCATGGCGAAGGTGTCGTCGGCACTATTTTGACACGGCCGCTCAGACACCTAAGCCAGTCGACAAAAATAAAATGGAATTTAAAAGACTTGCTTTGAATCGTCCACAATTTCTAACTACTCGCACGTCATTGACTCAGGCTGGAATGTGCTACATGCACCGGGAGAGAACCAAACTACTAACATTAGCTAACCAGAGTTGAGTCCTGGTGGTAAATCTTTCTTTAAAATGAGTATTTTTTCCGGTTTTCTGGAAAAAGGCAAACTGTTGCAACAGGACATGATTTGTGAGGCAACCAGCATTCTTCTTATCAACACAATTTAGACCATTGGTCGTTAATGAGGACTTTAGACATGCAAATTAAATGTTCAAGCAAAAACTTAGCCCCTAGTTAAGTTTTGCCGAGTTATTGTAAATATTTAGTGGATGACACAGTCCGATTTACTGATGGCAAAAAGGTCGCGATAAAATATGACTTTTCCAGGTGACATACTGACAGGAAACACTTCAGTTAGCAGGTTTAAGCAACCACATTTTGGTATAGTGAACGCGTAATTCTAGTGGTATAACTAATTGTTTGTTTCGTGTGCAGAGCGTTTGCGTCGACAACAATAAATAACTCATTTGCGACGAGGTTGCATGTTCTCCCACTTTGGAGCTTGTGGGTGTTCTGGTATGTGGTCTAATTCTCACCATTTACTCAATTTAGTTTGGTGAATCATACTTATTCACGATTTCGGGACCCAGCCTAGATTTGATTGACGACAATAAAACAAGCATCTTGCAAAATTTCCTGAGTGTATTCGAGTCTGCGCGTCTAAAAGCCCGAAAAGTAGGTGTGAGCCAAATTACAAAGCACGTTATTGTGCCACATGACCCACCAATGGCACTCCATTTTTGGCTCCGTCTCGGTTACCTTGTTGTAGGGCATCGAACCGACCGAAAATGTTGCCGACTCCCCTCGGCTGGTAGTTGTCCGGGTCGACGCAAGTGGACATCACCGCTCGCTGGTTGGGGCTCAGCAGGTGTCGCTCCATTCGAAATGCCTGCTGCAACTGAGGCATGTAATTTGAACTCATGGTTTTCCGTGCCTTATCATCTAGTCTCCAGATTATCTTCCAACCTCAAAGTTCTTGAAGGGAAAAGAATTTAGTAGATGAGAAACACTTGGGTTTAATGGGTAATTGCTGCATGGTTATGATGGCTACAACGTCAGGTGACACTTCAAAAGTTGTTGCGGGTTTTTGGCTTAAAGGATGAAAAATTTGCAAAATTTTGGGAATTTTTACTCTTTTTACTCAAATTAGGCAGATCACTTTTCCAGTGAATAGATTCAAAAGCGTATTTCAAATGGGTAAAGTCTTAATAGTTCTACTAGTGACACCGGAAACGTGTATAAAAGCTTCACCAAATGCATTCCTATCAGTAGACATTGGCTGGTAACCGCAGATTTAATGGTTTCTTCATCAAGTCAGTATTTTTTTATGGTGCCGTGATCAACCACATTACCCTCACTGCTCTCAGCGGACACTTCAGTTCCTTAGGCACGCAGCGTCTTCAACAAAATGAACAAACGCGTTTCTTCCACAAACTCGTCGTGAATGCACACACCTCAACAACGAATTATCTGCTCCATATGGGACCTTTTAAGGCTCACTTGCCGCCATGCTTGGACGAAATAATTAAGTTCATTTTGGATTTTTGCTTTCGAGTTTCATGAAAACAAATCCTCAGGAGTTAAGTCGGAAAATGAAGTGAGGATCCAAATGTATAAATTACTGAGTTATAGAAGGTATTTAGCCCAATTATTGCCGAGGCAGAAATAAAGTTTGCCTTGTGTAACAGCAATTATTAATACCAGGAAATCGTCTAGACTGGCTGTATCGACAAATTTTGGAAATATTCGACTTAAAAATTTTTTAAAACTCTGGGGAAATAAGATTAAACAGTATTTGGCACCATTTGGGCAAGAGGATGACCATCATATACCTACCTTACTGTGCAATGACACTGAAATTTCTGTAATGCGTACGCATTATTTCTCACTACTGAGGGATACACAATGCCCCAATACATGGTTACTTTTGCTTGGAAAAACGAGGGACATTGGAAGATCGGACAAAAGTTTGACAATGATAAGTTTTACAATGATAAGTTGTCACGGGAAAAATAAAGCTCGAGCTTGGCTAAATAGGGTTAAGATTTCAACTATTTGAAATCTCTGTTGGGTGCATTGCATCGCCATATGCTTTCCTCTAAAACGCAAACATTTGTTCAAACTATGATTTTGAGAACTGGACCCTTTTCTATGCTTACCACATTTTAATGTATGAGGAGTGTGTCTTCCCATGTAAGTTTCTTCAATGAATTTGGGAAAATTCGATAAAATCAAACGCAAATAGGAACTAAAAATGACCGTAGGTAGTCGTGTTGATTCAACTCTGCTGCCGCAACTACGGTCACGCCGACCCCCTTTTCCCGGCGAACGCGTCGGGTGCGTGGAACCGTCTTCTCACACACCCCGCGCATTTATCCCTCCCCCGCTACCCGCTTCACTTATCTGGACATTCAGTTAAATGTACCTTTGAGAATTCAGCCAGACTATAATGATGAACGTCATCAGCCGTGCGCTACTTTGAGCACACGCGTACAACACAACTAGGTTGCGCCATCTAAAAAAAGTTGTCGCCACCGTCTTCGGACGTCTTGGCTATCAGTGTAGTGTGACCGTGGTCAAGACAACTCGACGGCGCCAAGGTGGCTCGAGCCATCGTACGCGTGCCTTCAAGACAGCGATTGCGTCTTTTCGCACAAAGAATGAGAATTTTATCTCCCACGGCCATGCGAGCATCCACAGCCCAATCCATCAAGGCCAGGTTAACCCAACACTGTTGGCCTCGTAAAGACCGCGTCCTTATTCGTTAGCTTATGGATCGTTCCACGGCTGATTGGGGAACGACTGAACAAAATTATTTCATAAAATCCCAAACATTGTAATGCTGTAAGTTCATCCGGAATACTCTCTGGGTTTAGGAATTCCCGTGCATGCTGCATAACATGATCACTATACGAGCGCTTGTGCCACCACGAAGTTACTACGGCAATGCAAAGGCATGCCAGTCCGCTTGTCCCATCGAAAGTGATGGTTATCTACACGAGTGTTGTGGGCTTTTGCGTCAAGCAACAATGAACTTAACTGGTTGGTGGCAAAACTGCTGAACTGATTGTGCAAGGAACAAGACCTTTGGAAAAGAAAATGTCGAATTGATGAGTGTAATCGGTTGTGTTTGATCTTAACAATGCGTGTGCAAAATGCGACATGCTTGGTGGTTCACAGAATGTAATGGACCCAGAGAAAAAAAAACATCTTCGAGGGAGCGTTTCGTTCATTTACAATCCCATTTAATTTCAAATAAAAGTAAACTGAAAGGAAACCACGAACTAATTAGCCTGAGACATGAAACGTGAACTTGTAGGCTTGGAACCCCAAATCCCTTTATGTCAAAAGGCCTTAGATTAGAAGAGTAAATCTTTCATCTTAAACGTGACGTCTCAAAATTACTCCGGTCCGTGAAAAACAAATTAAGGCAAGATGCCAGAACACACTAAAACGGTATCGTTTAATGATAAACACTCTTTTAGACAATTTGAAAAACGCTGCTGAGGTATACCAAGTATCAAAACCAGAAAACATGCCACAAACTGCATTTCGTTTCAATTACTCGTTTTCAACGACGTCGAAAAGTGAACAGACAGGCGTCCCATAGGGTTGTCCGAACATCCTAGCAATTGAGATAATTACATTATTGGCTCAGTTAACTCTGTGCAGTATAAGAACCAATCCACCGGGTTCCCGTGACGTGTGGGGTAACGGGGGAGTTTAAATTGCACGTTTGGTTGGAAATAAATTAACCTTTAGTGACTTATCCAATTTTTCTATGAAATCCGGTTGCAAATGAAAGGCTGGTGTCTTGTTTCAAGTGAGGGGTCCGGTTTAAGAATCGAATTTGGCTCTGTTCCCTTATTTACTAAATTTCATTCAAATTACGTCGTCATCAGGTGATTTTAAAGTGTGACCTAGACGCCTTCATGCCATTGGTAACCATGTCCACTAAAGGGCGTCTGCAAGTCGTGTAAAAAACGATTTGCATTGTTCATCACGTGACTGGGGCGATGAACGAAGACACGTAGCACCGGTTACCAGTCCACATTACTTCGCAACCTCCTTTATTTTCGTTTACTATTTTCTTTTCATTTCACTGTGGCCGCTTTGCAAAAAAATTGAAATTTGATTTTGTAACATGAAACGAAGAGCTAGATTCCTTGTGCCTCTGCAGAAACTCATTTCAGAAGGTGAAACTTTTCGTGAGGGAAATAAAAATTCTGGAAATGGCAAAGAAGGAACATGTAAGGAACAACGAAAACCATCCATTTTGGCCAGGAAATTTGATTTTGGCACTGTTTTTCGAGACCCCATTAAAATGAACATTCGAAGACCTTTCAATTCTCGGCCGTGGCAGCTGTTTCTACCAGACAAAGTTCGTGACCATCTTAGCAGACGGGGTTATATCTTGGATTGGGGTGATGAATCGAATCCCAGGAAACTTCCCGCTGATGACCTCGGCAATAAGGCAGTACCAAAGTGTTCTTTGTATAATGCGGAATCATCCCCAGTCGTGAAGCCGGCCTACCTGTCAAGACCAGATTCCTTGGTCGATACGGTGGGGTCAACACAAGAGGTAGGTATTGAAGTGGTATCTAGTCCAGATCCTTCGCCTTTTACAAATTTAGGGACTTTAGGTAATTGTGTAAATTACAACACAAAAAGTGGACCGCCAGCTTATTCCCACAGCTCCTTTCCATCAGACGAAACCTCCTGTTGTGGCATCAAACACTGTAGGCGAAACTGCGTCTTTGACTATGCTTGTAGAAGAACTAACGCCGATCGAAAACCATCCCCATCCACCACCGTTATCGAAGTCATCGACTGTAATCCACGAGTCCCCATCCTAACTTACCCAAGAGAGTCGAATACGAGGAGAACGGAGGAGCGTAGCAGACCACCTCCACCAAGGGAGACAGAAACTCGAAAAACTCTCAACATTAGAAGTCTTGGGTACAGCGAAACTATTTATGCTGGAACAATTGGAACTAGGGAAGGGCATAACACGGGATTGGAGTGTACATTTAAAAACAACCACTCGCCGAACGGTCTTTACTTGTGTGAAGCGCTAAGTCCTACTTTCACAGAAGACACAGATAACGTGACTACGACTCTAGCGATGCTAGATGATGATTCCCTGCTCGAATCACTGCCTATCAACGAAACATCCACAATTATTAATCTTCCGGACTCGGAACACTCGAGCGATGAAACCTCTCAGAGGAATATCATCGCCACCGAAGAGGAAGTATCGGAACCTTTGACCTCCATCGAAGGACAACCCACCAAGGCAGAACAGCAGAAATTCGAGTTTCCTGAGATAATGATTAGAGGGGGTTCGAACACAAAGGAGGTCCAGGTTCCCATGTGCATGGGATTGAACGAAAACCAGTGGAAGCGGCCTCACCATAGGCCATGTTTCCCCTGCAGGATGTGTTCTTTTCGGGATGCTGCATTGCAAACAGATTTCAAAAATACCTGGTCCACTAGACTACAAAATAGTCAACCAATTCAGCCATGCTTCAGACGCATGTACGTAGAACGGGGTCCTATACTCAAAAGTGCGCCTAGACGGTATCACTCGACGCTTCGAATTACCACACCCATCCAACGCAATGCGTTTCCTGATATCATATCTGACAGAGTGCATGCGTCAAATGGTGACTTCAACGGATCACTGTTCTCTTAAGAGACCTTCATTTTCCGGACCTCTTAAGGCCTTTCACGAGGAAAAATCCAAGAGGGGCTAGTGGAGTAGCTTTTACCAATGTTCTTCCCCTTCCAGACTCCAAAAAATCGACATTTGAACCCAGGGCAGTCGATGAGTTTCAAGTAGTCCCCTGGTAGTTGAAAAAAACTACAGTGCGACGAAAGTCCACATTACATTACAGTGCCAAGCTAACGCCTACACCTCAGGTATTCCGGCAAGGCTGTGACTCCAGCCGTCTTTTTTTGAAAACTGAACTGATCTAAGTTGTAAGAGAGAAGCCAATATAAGCACTCACTTCCCCCAGAGAGACCAAGTTACTTCCCACCTTATAATCTTATGAACCTGGACTCAGCTAGGAAAACACGAGAAGCAGAAAAAGGCTGCGGATTTTGACGGTTGTTAGGGCCCTTGCTACAAACAAACTGAGCTTTCAAGTAGCTCTGGGGTGTCGCTTGCAATGAGACAGATCGGACTGAGTAAACCTTGGTGTGCTGCATTTCTTTGTTAAACACTTACAGCCAAGAAGTAACTTCTACGGACGGAAAAGCCTGACACTGAAAAATAATGCAAAGATAAGAAACAGGCGCTCTCCCTTGTCTTGAACAAATTGACATTTTTCAGGGAATACGGGACCTAATAGTAATCGGCGGTCTGTTTTCTACTCTACTATAATTCGTCCGCTGATTCAGAAAATCGGCAACAACAAATTCACTTTGGGTTCGGCGAAGTTTGCAAGACACGAACCTCCGCAAGCAGAATGCATACAAGTGGTGGAAGTGTTGTAGAAGGACTTGAAAAGAAGAACATTAAAGCAAAATTAACTTTACCCTCCTAGACTCACTTTTGGACTCACATTATGGACGAGCATTCTAGTGAAACGGATGGCGACATTCGGCAATATTTTCTGGAACTGGAGGACAAGTGTAATGGAAGAAGATGGAATTTTTGTAAAGAAGGAACGCCTCATGGTATCCTAAAGATCCGCCAAAGAACCAACAAAAACTTGCATTTGCTAAACGAGAGCATGAACAAAAGACTACTTCGAAGACAAGGAAAACCACCCTCCTGGAACCACTGAAGTATTCGACAACGCGGTGAGTGGTCCAGACGCCCCGTACCTCTGTATGGAACTCGGTGTGTTATCGCGTGAGGCTTGCAATGGAAAGAGCCTAGCTTCTAACATTTGGTTTCGTAATTTTTTTCCATAATATTTACGCTTCACTATTAGCTGTTTTATTTGTCAACTAAGGGTCACTACACACTAAATTGTCTTAATTTCAAAGTATGCACACTGACATAGAGGGTTTGTGGATGCACGAAATCGATCGATTGTGTCTATTACAGCCGCGTCAACTGTTCTGAGCCAGTATGAATGTTTTTGGAAGTGACAAACAAAGCTAAGCGTAGTGTTCCATAAACCAAAGTATAATAAATTTCTAGCTATTGCATTAACAGATAAATGTCTGCAACATCTATATTTACTGGCGTGAGGTAGGTACTACATTGGTACTACTACGAGCCTTTATGCAGTTTAAAGTGCATTTTGCTTATTCAGTAGTTTTAAACGTTAATCTCTTTAATTAAAATGTCATTCCTCGTTTTAATTAAAGTTTGATTCAAGATGAGGTTGCGGTCGATATTTCAAAATGTGGGCATGTACGAGTGCACGGGTGGACGTGGTCGTGCCGTGACCCCTAAGTTGATGAGAATAAACAAACCCACATAGCTCCCCTCCGATGGCTCCACCGACAACCTCGTGGTCATCGGCATGCATTTCGACATACGGAGGCTCCGTTGTAAGCCAGGAAGATGGTAAAATGGATCATCGGGTGAGAGTCAACATGATTATCCACTTCTGGGGAGCGCTTTGACGTAATCAACAGGTCTGACTGGCGAGGCTGTCCCCGCAAACGAATTAGTTAAAACTCATCTGTGTTTAAGCTTAACTTAGGTTAACTTAATGTAGGAATGGTGCCAGAAATGGTAGATTTTGATGGTTTAACTAGGTAGTGTTAACAAATTGAAAATTTCCTTAAACTCGCCGTTTCAAGTTGCTGATACTTGAAGCCAAAGAACTGTCAACCTCTGATAAACGTGCAAATTTTTCTCCACTGCATTAACTCTCGAAATCCGGAAGAGAAGTTAGATTAAAGCTAAGACAATAGATTAATGCTGCAACGGGCTCTGAGGTGGTAGGAATACAAGGGAGTGTAGTAAAAGACCTCAGATCGAAAAAAGGTTTTGAGAATACGATTACAGCAATGCCTGAGAGTACGCCAGTTAACGGGTAGAATCAGCTACCTCCACCGAATGCAACTTTTGAAGCGTAGCGGCCCGGAACATTGGATTTTCGAGGTTAGTCCCACACAAAGAATCTTTCCAATGGGACACAGTCTTCGAATATTTTAACCACTGCCCTATTTACTAAGCATGTTGACAATTAATTCATGATCTGGGACTCACTGCTCTGATTAATTTAAGACTGGTGAATGCATGCAACGAGCTCTTAGGTTAGCATTAAAAGCTTTCAACTAATTGATGGTTTGAAGCCTTTCTAGTCGGCTGAATTAGCCTCCTCGTCAATTTTGCGCAAATAATCGACATGGTCATCAAGAATTACTCACACCTTGAGATTTCTGTTCGTACAGGGTCATTTGTTACCTTGGACAATTACTTTGCTGCAAATGAAGACACAGCACAGCGTAAGTTGAAAAGCTCAAGGCAAGTTTATTCTTGGAATTCGTGGACAATCAAATTCCACGTTTCTGCCACCGACAACGCAGTGTCGAGTAAAAAACCTTGCAAGGGGCAAAGAACTTTTTGTACTAGAACAAATGTGAAACGCGGTATAAAGGATTTAGTCGCTCCATGCGCTAGCTACGTGGCGTAGCCTGCTTTCCTGCGGCACGTGTCTGTCTGAGCACCTAAGTTCAATTCTTCGCCTGTGGATTTCGGCATTTACAAGGAGCAAAGCAAATAGAGCGTCACCAAGGCAACAAGAAGATAGTGGATTTCATACGCGCGCTTAAAATTTGCCCTAGATTCACAGTCAGTGGAGACGAAGCACAGCGCTGTTGGGGCACGTTGTGAATCCTCTCTGGTCTTATTACGCAAGCGTTAGCAATATGGCAATGATACTTAGTGTACTTTTAGGATGCTGGTTGGATTAGGCCAGATATTCAACTTTAAACAAGGCAGGTAGATTCACAAGGCTTTATGATTAAACATCTCGTTTTGAGAAGGAAAATAAGGTAGAAAATGTGCATTAATTGAGGCTTTTTGAAACCCGGGATTCGAGGCTTGTGCCTTGAGGTCTTTTTGATACAATGATGGATATTTTACCAAGAAACATGCAGCAGCACCAATGGCAGGTGACTGATGCTTAACATTCTGGCGCCACTGGAAGCCAATTATCCTGGTTCTGTTAAAGCGATAATGCTTTTCTCCAATAGCCCAGGACACGAATTCGACATGAATATTTTCGAGTACTTTGTTTTTATTAAATACTGGCTGGATTCCTGTTAAAACGGAGACCTCTCACACACACAATCTCGCCCAAAAAATAGTTTGAGCGTTATTTTGGCCTGAAAACAACTTAATGTAATGTCGAATGGTTGAGGGAGAAACCGACTTGTGCACTGTTCACGCATGTGCACAACATGTGCATCTGAGAAAACGCAGCCAGTAATCCGAAACAACCGACCTGTCACAAGAACAGCCCTGCCAGCTGCTTAAAAAATGACATCGCATTGTCAGGGTTTCCTGGTAAATACGCGAAGGGTAACTGGCAGACACACAAACTAGCCTGGCTCTACCATTCCTAGTAGTCCCTCTTGCGACGGATTGATTTCACTTCCACGGGAGCATAAAGCGTTTAGTTATCTGACCGCTGTAAGCATCGAAAGAAATTCAAATCCTCAATGAAGTAAAATTCAACGAACACGGTCAGCATGGTGGCAATGGGATCATTGAGATATGTCGGGAAATATTGTTTATTAAAATGGATAATCATCTAACAGTAAGTGCGTTACTCACATAGGTTACAGTAAATGGTATTAACAAAATCAGCCTATACATGAAGAGATGAAACCAAATGAAATTACGACAATGTGAGCATAAATGTACATTTGGGACTTCGAATAATAGAAAAGCACTTCTGATTACTTACCATCACCCATAGGAAATCCAGGTGTTTCCCGCAGCAACCACGAGTTAAAGAAATAGAGACGGCCCCAAAGCACTCCAAAGTTTTCGAGTGATTTTGTGATCATGTGATGCTAGTGAAGTGCTGCACGTTACCAGATTGCCGATCCCAGTAATTCCATTGGCTAAATGGGCAACCAATCAGCAGACTGGGAACACGCGCACACATGTTCACACCTACATAAATAGTGCAGTAAAGGCATTTTTTGGGTTTGTCTGGGGAAACATTTGCTCAAAGAAGGTTTGGGTACATCTACAAAAAACTCACACGATTTATACCGACAGAAATAAAAATACATGCCAGATATTTACCGATTTTAGCTACACTTTCTCTCATTCAGATTTCAATTTGAGACAATGACGAGGTTAGATCACTCATCATTTTCGAGTTAAATGCACAATGGACTAATTTGGGAAAGGATATGTTTTAATTTTGGACTGGACTCAAAAACAGTTTTACACAAATGTGATTCATGAATGCAATTCTAGATGTACAATTTGTCACAACCGAGTCGATATTCAAGAATGACGAAGTGAAGATAGAGTTCTGTCCATAAGATCGAAAGGTATGTTGATGACGTTTCATTGCGGGAAAATATTTGCTGACCGATAATTTACAAAAAGCATAACCGTTAATAATCATAGTTGTATAGCAGTTAAGTGGAAGGATACTATTGTGGCATGACCTAAGGTGTCGCGGACACACGTTGACGAGCAAAGGGTCGAATATGAGAAAGTGGATTCTCCGTGGTTACAGCACCAAAGCCCATGCCAGT